CCTGGTCCCTTTGGCCCTTCATGATCACACATGTTGGTGTGCTGCTTCCATGTGGGCTTTGTTGCTTCTGGGCTAGATGGCCGCTTGTTTACTTTCAAGACTTTAAGTCCCCAGATGCTACAGGTCTCGATAGCCGGGCACCATCAGCCTTCTTCACCACACGAAATGATCTTATTTTATCAGCTTAGGTATATTGACTGACAAGAACTTTTTATGCAGACTACTGAAATTCTTATTCAAGTACTAAGTAGTAAATCCTCCTTCTCCTCCTCCTCCTCTCTCTTCTATCGAGTTGATTCTGACTCATAGTGACTCTAACAGATGGGTTAAAACTGCCCCCTCTAGGTTTCTGAGCCCTTAAATATTTAAAGTAGTAGATAGCCTCATCTTTCTTTCCAGAACGACTGGTAAGTTCAAACCACTGACCTTGTGGTTAGCAGCTCAATTCATAGCCCACTATACCACCAGGGCTAATTAGTCAGTCATAGGTCCAAGAAATCCCAGATATCTTCAAAGTTGTTTTGGAGGCTAGACTTCTCTTCTTTTAGCCCAACAAGAAGGGATTTATGCAGTTGTTAACACCACCTGCTTTGCTTAGGTAAACAAAAGACATAGAGCAGATATTACCCATCAGAAAGTTACTCGGTTACATCCAAAAAGGCCCTCAAAGTCATGGCCATCAAGTCAATTCCAGTCCATAGGATCCTAAAGGACAGCGTAAACTACCCCATTGGGTTTCCAGGGATATAAACTGTAACGCGAGTAGAAAGCTTCACCTTTTGCTTATTAGTGTGTTAGACAGAGAAAAAAAACCAGGATACTTACGAACATACATCTACATCTATATCTATATATATATGGATAGATACATACAGCACAAAGGAATATAACAGCCAATTAGTCCACATAGCAGTACAGAGGACTCAGTTCAACTCACTTCCTTGGAACAGTTAATATACTGGAAGTCCTTTAACTCATGAGGGCCACGGGGTCCAAGGTCAAGGAAGCAGACAGCTGAGTCTTCCAAAGGGTAATGCAGGCAGTCTGGCCACAGGCAGCAAACAGCAGATGGGTCACCAACAGTCAGCAAGATGACAGGATCATACAGTCCCAAGCTCAATCGATGATACACCAGCAGTGTGGCGAAGTAGGTCTCGAAGGAACCTCAAGCTGTAGCAACACAATCCATGGGTTGGCAGTCCCACAGGTAGTGTAGCTCACAAGTTGAGACAGAGAACTAGCAGCCACACACTAGTCTGATTACCAGAGAGCTAGAGAGAGAGAGGCAGGGCTTGCTGAGCCACTTATCTCTTTGCCCTCCAATCAAACCGCGACCTTATTAATCTCACATGTTCCTATTGGCCAGGTTGGCACAATAAACCTACCTATCACATGGAGCAACTGGTGGTATCAAACTGCTGACCTTGTTCTTAGCAACCCAATGTCCAACCTATTATGTATTTTTCTTTGGATGTTTAGCAAGTTGCCTGGTGGCATTGGTTCTTGGATGTGTTCTATACTACTGACTGAATTAACCACTCTGGTTACTGTTATAATTAGCCTTGACCTTGACAAGTGTCTCATGAAATGCCTATCTCAGCAAGCAACTCCCCTTGCTCTATAAAACATTATGCATTTGAAAAGGATTATCCATTCGGAAAGCTTTACCTTATACCTGTTAGATGCCTTCTTCCTATCAAGCTGTTCCTTCAAAGTTGACTTTGCTGTAGTCATTCCCTCATTAGAATCCCAGATCACAGAAGCAGACGTCCGAACTACAGCGTGGTGGAGATAAAACTGAAGGTGGGCAGCTATTCCTTAATGATTATGTCTAGGTCTTAGAAGCCTATTCCAAAGCGGCGGTCATCCAAAACTGCAGGGCAAGGAAGTCTATACGAAAGAAGGCACTCTTACTAGAACAATACTGATCAATGAGTTTCTATGGATATCCTTAAGCAAAAGGAGAAAGCGACACGAACACTCTAAATAATCTAAGGCACTGACCGGACTGAAGGAGCCCTGGTGATGCAGTGGTTACGAGTTGGGCTGCTAACTGAAAGGCCAGCAGTTCAAAACTGCCAGCCGTCCCTTGCAAGAAAGCTTTCTACTCCTGTAAAAGGTTTCAGCCTCAGAAACCCACCCTGACCTAGGGGGTCGCTGTGAGTCTGCACCAACTCGATGGCAGTGCGTGCGACGTGACTGAGGCTGTTAGCTGCAGTGCTGGCCTGACTCCACCTTGACTAAACCATGCCTGCAGGAGTCAGAGATGCATGAGCAGGAGCAAGACAGGCAGGTGGGTACCTTCAGGTCCTGTAAGGATTATTATTTTTTCACATTGTAGGAACCTGAGGGTATCAAAGTCTAGCGCCTGCAATCTGACTTTCCAGTTACCACGAAGAACTCTTTGCAAGCTTTGTGTAAAATGCCAACCAGTCACGGTCCCTTCCACCTCTCTCTCTCTCTCTCTCATTTGTGGCTTTTGCCTTTACAAACCCCTGTAAATGAAGCCCTCTTGGGAACAGCCAGTGAATAAACGGCTTCCACTGTATGTTCCCCCAGGTTAAACTGTCCTCCTAGTCCCACAGAAACTTTCCTTCTCTTTGAGCTTTCCAACCGGCTGTTTTCCTTTGGCGAACTCTTGAACACTTTGAAGACACAAACATGAAATCCAATAGGCTGAAGCGTATGTGGCAGCACAGAGGACTTCCCAGCACTGCCCGACGTACTCGCCTCATGCTTCTACTTTCCCCACCCCGCTGGTTCTCCTGGGAAACCCCTTGAAGTCCAAAGTGTGTGCTACGGATGGCGAGACGAGACGCATGCATGCAGAGAAAAGAAGGGAACGGAAATGGCCGCCAGAGGAAATCGTACAAATTTGTTAATTTATTACAAAATGTCCACTCACAGAAAAAAAACACAAGGAAACTTTTATACTTTCATATTTTGGAAAGGACTGGTGCCTCCGATACAAAATAATTTACACGTAATCCATACAATTTTATTTTTATATAGAAATAGGTCATTATTACAACAGCTGTACAATTCACTACACTTCGTGTTATAATACATAATGTCTTCTCTTTAGAAACATCTCAACATGACAAACCATACAAAAAAATAAAGCAAAGTGCATGTCTCAAAGGGAAATCCAAGCCTCGGTGTAATCATGAAAGATATGTAGAAAGATGCAGCATTCTCACTCAAAGGGCCGACTGTGGTGGGGTTTCCTCAGGGCCTGGGGCCCCACAGGCCTGGCTGGCTTATGAGAGCTCCCCAACTGCATATCCTCAACCACATCCTACAAACTCAGTTCCGTGATTGTGCTTGCCTTTGTGCCCACCTTCGAAGTGACGAGTATGGAAGTAAACAGGGACCAGTCCAGTGTGACCTTTGGTGAAACAAATTGCCACCAGAACAGCTGTGGGGTTACCAGCACCCAGGGCTGGGCCAGAGGGCACAGGCCTGCAGCGTGACGGAGGAGGGCCAGCTTTGCTGGCTCTGACTGGGGGCCTAGCTTTGTACTATTTTCCAAGACAGAAAGTGCCTAAAGTTATTTCCTCTGTGCAGCTGTGCAAATTAAAACACAATAGAACAATCGAAAAATAATGAAAAATAATCTCTCTATTCTCTCTCTTCCACTCATCGCTGAGCCGGTGCTCTGCAAACACAAAGGAAAGGCGTTCAGGAGAGGGCAGGCTGCCCAGCTCCTGTGGACGGGCCATAGCCGGCTGGGGCAACCGGGCACTCTCGGAGGACACAGCCAAGGTCAGCTGAGTAACAGCGCTTCCGTGGGGCCCCCGGTTCATGCCCAGGGATGGCTATGGCTGTAGATTGCTCTTAGAGCTGTGGAGGCAGCAGCCCCAGTCTCTTCCCACGGTGCCAGCTGCAGCCCGGGAGCCGGTGCCCTTCCAGGAATTCTGAACTGGGAGCCCGGTGTGTGCAAAAGCCCAGGGTGTTGCTTCAACTCCTCACACCCGTGGCCATGTCCTCTTCGCCCATTGGTTAAAGCTGATTGCGACCCAGGACCGAGGGGCACTACCGTGGGGGCTGCTGCAGGGCTGATGACTCCGACAGACCACCGACCCTCCGCGGAGGGGGTGGGGGCTGGGGCTGGGGCGGGGGCGGCGCAGGGTAGCCCATGGTCCCTTGGTGTTGCGAGTAGGCAGGGAGTAGCAGCGAGTCCTGCTGCTCACCGTGCAAAGAGGTTGGTGTCTGTACCTGGAACGAAGAAGGTGGTTTGGGAGTTGAGGGTAGGGATGGCGGTTTCCCAGGCTGCACAACATGACCGGAACAGAAAGCCTCCTCTTTCTCCTTCTGAGAGGCTGGTGGGTTTAAACTGCCGACCTGGTGGTTAGTAGCTCGATGCTAAAAAGGCGATGTCACCAGTGCTCTCTGGCTCGCTCTCTATTTATATTTAGTCACTACACTTAAAACAAAATCATAAAACAGTCCAATACAGTCTTTCTGAATCTCAACTGCACCGGGGACTAGGCCCACCCTGAAGCCACCAAGTAAGAGGTTCCTGCTTTGGGATCGCAGAGCTGGCCCTGGCCGCCCTCTGCCCCAGGTCCCATGGCCCCCACTCCTACCTGTAGGTAGTGTTGTGGGGGCTGCTGCTGGGCCTGCGTGGACTGCAGGGGCGATGGCTGGGAGGTGGACAGGCTGGGGTGAAGCACTGCTTGGCCCATCAGCAGGATAGGGGTTGAGGCGCTGCTGTGGGAGGTGTGCACTTCAGAGCTTTGAAACACTGCCTGGCTCTGCTGATACCTGTTTGTGGGGGAAGCGGAGAGTAGACAAGAAGGTGAGAAGTGTTGATAAGGGCCCATCAGTCAGGGATTGGGTGGCCGGGGCCTGGACCAGCTGCCACTGAGTTGACACAAGATGCCCTGTGTGCTCAGAGCAGGTCGGCACTCCCACAGTTGTCCAGGGCTAATGTTTCAGATGTAGACAGCCGGACCGTTCTCTGGAGGTGCCGCTGCACGGGCCAGAAGCCCCACCCTTCACTTAGCAGCTGAGCCCATCGACCCTTCGACTCCACGGAAGTGGCTTGGAAGAAGGCCATGGAGGAGTCCTGGGAGGTGATGGCCAGGAGTGGCTGTGTTCCACTGTGGAAAAGAGCTTCCGTGAGGAACATAGAGAGGGCCTATTTGACGTGACACTTTTATTTCTAGAGATGCAATTTCTCTGTTGTTGTTAGGCACCTGTGGGTCGGTTCTGATCCACAGTGTGACCCTGCGGACAACAGGAGGACACACTGCCCCGTCCTGTGCCATCCTCACCCCTGTTCCTAGGGCTCTAGATGGGGTCATTGACAACAGGCGCTGAGGAGTCTACACGTCCTCTGGAGGGGTCAGATGGTGTGTTTGGGGTGGGGCGCGGGGGGGCTCTTAGAGCACATCTGGAAGAGGGGACAGGTTGAGGGTATAAACCATCAGGTTGACCAGATGTGCAGTTGGTGCTCCCAGGATCTAGCATTTCCTTCTTTGCCTAGTTCATAGCCTTTCCAGCATCTCTGGAATCCTTGCTTCCACTTTTCCCAAACCCACAAGCCTTGTGTAAATGAGGATTTCAAAAAGAGCTTTACAGACAGTTCTGGGAGGTGGGGAGGGCCCCCGATGGCAACGAGACGCTGTCCCTGAGGCTGTGGTGGGCGGGGGGCCCAGTCAGCGTGGCCCCGGAGGACTCTGAAGAGTGGGGTAGTCCGAGGAAGGCTCTGTCGGGGTCGGTGCCCCCTGCTGTTGCGGTGGGACATCCAGTGTGTCCCGTGTGGCAGGGTTTTCCCAGCTGGACTCTTCATGGAGGTGACCTGCAGAGCTGCTGGCTGGGCTCAGACCATTCACCTTTTGGTTCACAGCTGAGCGCTTCACTGGTGGGCCACCAGGGCTCCTCGAGTGACCTCTATACCCCTCGGTCTCCCACTGGTTTCAGGTTCTTAGCAGATGAGGTGAGGTCCCTCGCATACAGGCCCTGGCTCTCAGAAACCACTCGCTGTTGGAGCGAGAACTGTTACTACTGGTGACAGGGACTACAGGGGGAAGGGCCCTTGGGGGCAGATCGGCTAACCCGGCAAGTGTTTCCCAGTCCCGAGCTGTCTTCGTGAACTGCAGGCAAATTCAACCAGCAGCGCTATCGAAAAGCCCTCTGTGGGAGCTTTCTATTTCTGCCTCAAGGCAGAGAGCGGGAATTGAATGTCCAGGACCGCTTCAAGCCTTCCTCCTGCTGGTCTCTTGGGGAACCCCAGTCCCGGGTCGTGAAACAGCGGCACAAACTACTTCACAGTGCGCACAAGTGGAGCAGAGACTGGGGTGACGAGAGAGGCAGGCTGTGTCTGGGATGGGAGCCCTGTGGCAGGAGACTGGAGCCCTGGAGCCCCAAGTAGCACTGTGGGATCCACTGCCCACCCAGT